GGGCCTCAATCATTAGAATAGGGTTCCTTTAAAGGGGTCTATAAGGGTTACTATCAGGGATCGTACTATAATATAGGGGCCTTAATAAATAGAATAGGGTTTGTGGGTATATTATACTATAATTATGATAAGGAGCCCCCAGAATAGGAAGAAAGTTGTATTGGTATTTACTTAGGCCCCTATAGCAACCAATCACCACCCTCGAGCCAGCGTTTAGCGTAGCGTGCCCTCGAAACCAGAACCCTTTTGCCTTAACCCCAACCTACCTGCTCTACCTAAACCCTAAACCCTAAACCCATACATGTACCCAGAGCTACAATGCCAACTAAACACTGAACGCGAAAGCCTCAAACTCAGAAGCCCACCCCCCCTCAGGCCCTACCTGAACCCCAAATAACCTCCATTCTTATTGACTTGTACAGCATTCAAGTGACTTATACATATATATATATATATACATATGTACATAATACCTTGATGACAAATGTTTTATTATCTTGTCTTAACGACCTATATGCTAGCTTAAAGTACATTTTACGCATACACGGAAAGCACATGAAGGAAGCGTAAACAGCTAGGCTTCGACGGTTCTAGTCTATAGTAAGCTCCAAGCCATCACCTCTGGAGACGAATGCGGAAATGCTCCAATTCTCTAGACTTCCTTTCAGGAGGTCTAAATTCTTCCGGGTGGAGCCGACCCGCCTGGCTCTTCGTGTTTGGTATACAGTAGAAGCCAGAAAGTTGGAATATCATTATCCTAACCCCTTTAAGGTAAATTATAGGGGATCCTACCATTAATCCATATTCCAACTTTCTGGAGTTCCCTTTAATGCCATATTAAGGGCCCCTGAACCCTAAACCCGAAGCACTTCAGGGATTAGGGTTTAGGGTTTGGGTTCTGGTGCAGAACCATCGTCGCTGTTCAGTTTCGGGGTTAGGCATTCAACAGCCCGAGCCCCCAAAACCTCACAAAAAAGGCAAACCCCGTAACTTGCAAAACGTCGTCAGTCCAGGGTTTAGCATTTACCCTAATGCTCCTAAGAGGGTCTTGGGCTTTCTGGGGGAGGGTTTCGGCTTTGGGGGCTAGGGTTTGGGATCTCACTACAAGGGTCCAGGAGCCTTAGGGTAATGTTTAGAAGATATCACCCCCAAACACACCACGAAGGTCTTCTGAAGCCAGCCTCAATGTTGGGAGCGTCGGTCCACCCGGCTGTGAAAGATTGAAAAGGGCGACTTCGTTTGTCGCACTGCCGCCGCACCGAAGCGATTTTATCCACGTAGTTTAGTACTGTAGTTCAGATTACCCTAAACCTGAACCCTAAAAAGATCTAACACACTAATGTGGACAACCCGGAACCCTAAACCCTAAACCCTAAACCCATCATCAGAAATCCTTGAACCCATGCGCCGGTAAGACCCTCAAGCCGCAGGCATGACAGCCCATGAACGAGCAACCGGGATGATGTGGGTAGTTCTCAAAATGATGGTCCCCTTTTTGAGTACCCTAAATATCAGGTGCCGTATTATATTAGGTGCCGTATTGTATTAGGGATCCAAAAAGGGGCCATAGTTTTGACAACTACCAATGTAGAGTCTCATGCAATGCTCATGGGGTCTGGCAGAGGCCGAACAACGTCACGAAGCTTGTTTAAGGCAGGTTCGAGGGGTTACGGGGTTTCAGGCAGTAGGCCTTTGGGCTTCAAGCGTAGGGCTTAGGGTTCCGGGTTTAGGACTATAGGGTTAAGCACTTGGGGTCGTATTTCACCGGAGACGTACAAGCTCTATATAAACCTGATCTCAACCTGCTAAAGCCTCCTGTTTCGCAGGATCAGGATATACCCACCCGCAAGGGAAAGTGTACAGACACTTCAAAACAAACAGGTTCGGCTGAAGAAAGCCTAAATCATGAAACTTCGGATGCCTGTGCTTCGGATGATTCGGCTGGCAGGAGTGCACATAGAGACAAACAGTGTCTCCACGGCAGAGAAGGCTCCGGCTGTGCTCGACCGCACAACACCGACGAACCAGGACACAGCCCTTTGGGCCATGAGCAGAAGTGAAAAATCATAGGTACAGCACCGCTTGTCCCCGGATGGTAGAGGAACTTGAACACGGATCTTGGAGTTCAGGGCTCAAGGGTTTAAGGTCCGCTGATGGTAGAGGGACTTGAACAAGGGTTTGGGGATTCAGGGTTCGGTCTTTGCTTTGGGGCTTACGGCTTACCCCCCCTTCAAATGAGCCCCCAAAGAATATGCAGGCTACGATGCTGCACTACACCTCCGCCGCGCCGGGCCGGCGCCCGCCGCAGGTTTGCGGTGCTTAGGATCTGGGGTCGGTCTTGGGGCTTTTTCGGGCGGGATGATGGAGGGATTCGTGTTTAGGGTTTCGGGGTGAGGCATTTTGGGTTGGCGCGTTAGGGATTCTCCAGCAGGATCCATTACAAAAGCTGGAAAACAAAATCCCTAAGCCCTCCAACGGCACCCTGAAAGCAACGCCTTTAAGTTAAAACCCTAGGAGGCAACTTCAACACAAAGTACTTGAAAGCTTCACGGGCAAGTCGTGAGCTACTGTAGACTGTGCTGCTGCACAGAGAAAGACCAGGGTTTAGGGGATAGCCGGGATAGGCTTAAGGGGAGAAAGACATCGAAGGAGATTTTTCATGGGGGTATACTTGGAGGATCATGGGACTTAGTAAGTAAGGTTATATGTGCTTTAATTGGGGTTATAAGTAGTTATAAGTATAGTGTATAGTTACCCTAATTACAACATATTGTGATGCTCGGATGTCAAGTTTCCTCGCGTTCCCCTCCCTGTGTTATGATGGGAGGCCAAAAGGGGAGTTTAAGATTCTTGGGGTAGGGATTCCTTAATATGAACCCTATATTATGAGAACCCTAATCCCTACTAAACCAACATAGGCTAAAACCCCGTTTGGCCTCCTATGAGTTAGTTTCAAGGAGGGCACTGGCTGTTTCAGCAAAGACTTTCTGCCCTCAGCCGATGAAGTGGGAGTTTCCGAAAATATGGGACCCGAACATAGTACCCTAAATAGTAGGATCCTTATTGTAAGGTACCCCTAATTTTCGGAAACTGCCAAGTATGTGCAAGCGGCCGAATTCCTTGTTGAACTCTGCCAACCGTCTGGCCTTGGGTTTGGGGCTCAAACAGCGGATATCCTAGCAGCACTTTGTGGTTCAGAGTTCAAGGTGCATGAGGACTTTCCTGCTATGCAACGCAATAGGCAGGCTTCTTATATATGCTGGCAACGAGGGGAGGGTGTCGTTGTAAACCCCCTGAGCCTTTCAAACCTAAATGCTGAATCGTTCCATGCCTTGACAGGCCTAAACCCGGCACCCCTTAAACCTGCTTTGATAAACAGCTTACGTACAGAGAGAGAGAGAGAGAGAGAGAGAGAGAGAGAGAGAGAGAGAGAGAGAGAGAGAGATAGAGAGAGAGGGGAGACAGAGGGGCTATATATATATATATATGTATGTATGTATATGTATGTATATGTATATGTATATATATATATATGTATGTATGTATGTACGTACGTACGTACGTATGTATGTATGTATGTATGTATGTACACATACATGCATACGCACATACACATACATACCTCGAAAGAAACCCCAAACCCTCATTGCGGCCCACATTGCATCTCGGGGACCGTACGGTGGCCCTTCCTTGGGCTCGAAAGACCTGCAGGGGTCAGAGAAGAGGGGTTTTAAAACTTCTACATGGGAGTTTCCAAAAATAGGGGACCCTACTATAACACCCTAAATGGTAGCATCCTTATTAGAAGGACCCCTAACTAAGGTACCCCTTATTTTCGGAAACTCCCACATGGGTTTAGACGGGCTTTATGGAGACGTTCTGCTGGGTGTGGAGACGGTGGGGAAGCTTGAGGTTCCGGTTGCCTGCTTTGTCTTAACCATAAACTATGCCAACTAGAGATTGGAGGTCGTTACCTATACGACTCCTTCAGCACCTTATGAAAAATCAAAGTCTTTGGTTTGGCCTGTTTCGTGGCCGTGGGTTTAGGGTTTCCGGTCTTCTCCAAAACTCCACCTTAAACCCTACGGGTGTAAGGCTAACAGCCCCAAATCCTGAAGCCCCATACAAACCTCTTTAAAGGGAATTCCAGAAAGTTGGAATATGGTTTCAGGATAGGATACCTTATAATTTACCATTGATAAAGGGTTTAGGATAATCATATTCCAACTTTCTGGCTTTTACTTTAAGTGTGGCAGGCTTTCTGGTCTCAGACTTAGGTTTTTTGCCTTTGGAATCCAGAGTTTTCCGATTCCTGTGGGGCAACAAAGGGGAGTCTTCAAGTTAGCGTTAGCTTGGTATAAGGGTTCCCATAATATAAATGGGAATGCAGGGCCTATTGTGTCCTGCGAGTCCAAACGGATATTTAGTTGTAAGTTAAGAGTTTCGGAACTTATTTAGGGTTTAGGGTTTAGGGTTTAGGGTTTAGGGTTTAGGGTTTAGGGTTCAAGCAATTACGGTAGGGTTAGGGTGAGATCTAGGTTTCTGGAATTAGGCTTCGAGGTTGATTCTCCTTTCTGAAACCCCAATCCGCCCCAAGCCTGAGCAATAAATCACGAGCCACGACACTGAGCTGTTTGGGATGTGGATCTTAACCCTCCGTCCTCAACCTTCAAATCCCCCCCCCTCCAAAGCCGCACCTTACACCCTAAACCCCTAAACCCTCCAACTCAGAGCCTTCCCTAGAAACCATACAGAAATAAACCTCCCCATCGAACGCTGAGTTGATTTCGGAAACCTCAACAAGTGGGATGTAGGTATGTAGGATGAAGGATCCCTTATATCAGGACTCTTATGTGGGGGTTTCCGAAAATAGGGGACCCGAATAGAGTACCCTAAATGGTAGGATCCCTATCATAAGGACCCCAAAATAAGGTACCCCCAATTTTCGGAAACTCCCATGTGGGATTACCCGGCCTCTGATCACCAGCTAAGCTGGAGACTCAAACGCCCAGGGAACCACGGCCATAGCGGTCCGACCGTTGGCTGCGTGAGCCTGGCCGGCTTAGGATTAATTCAAGGGTTCCGTAAAGAGTTTTGTAAGGGGTTTCCAGAATGACTAATAGGATTCTTTATGGGCTCTGAAAGTTAACTCGAAGTTAATTTTGCGGCCTGGGGCTTCAATTTTTAGCGTTTCAGGCCTTGTTGAGAAGGGTTAAGGGATCTCCTTCCACTAGCATACCTGCTTTTAGGGTTTAGGGTTTGTAGCTTCTTATTCTAGATCCTAATATCGATTTCATAATTTTTGAGGACCCTACGGAAAAGTCTGGTTTCGGGGATTGCGCAGGGTTCAGGGGGCTCTATGACGCCAGGGGCCCCGAATGCAAGGTTCAAGGGCAGGGTTTCGGCTTGAGGGATTAGGGTTTAGGGATTCGGGTTTTGGGATTAGGGATTGGGGAATTTAAGGTTTTCGTTTAGCCGAAGCAACTTAGTTTCTAAGGGAAGATGTAGGATATACGGGTCTCAGAAGGTGTCGTAAGAATCTAGAGCTTTAGGGTTCCCAACAATTGATAATGTTTGGTGCTGACGGGTTGACCAGAAAATGTTGAAACGGGGACAAGAGCTGCACAGCGGGAGTGACCAATGGCTGTCGGGTTTGGCATGGACCCTGATTCCTCAGCCGTACATGAGCCCCACAGTAACTAACTGCGTAGGGTTCTTCCGTTATGGATTCCTTACCGAAGTCCTTCAAACTGTAGGTGATATACCACTATGTGAAGTAAGGGTTCGGGAATCATGGAACAAAGAAGAATGCGATGCCATGCCAGGCGTTTCGGGCAACCTTGGGTCTCGCACGCGAGCTCGTAGGGATGTCTACAAAGGCCCCAAACCGTCGGTTTAGGGTTTATCAGGTTTGGGTTTATGGCTCAGAGTTTGGGGTTTAGGGTTTAGGGTAAACCTACTTGTGCAATATCCTGTGCGAATTCTAATCTTGAAAACCGCATTATACCCGTTTCCTTGCACTCGACCGCCTGTCGATTGCATTCACCCTTTGAACCCTAAAACCTGAACTCACAAAACCTGAAACCGCAAACTACCAACTCTGAACCCAAAATTTACACGGTAAATCCCAACACCAAATCCAAATCTCCTGACCCTACTTGATTAACCTACAATGTAGCATCAGCATGTCATGCTGATGGCAGTTGGTCAACAAAGCCCACAACTGACTTTCCTGCAACCCCCAAACCCCAGCACGAAACTCCAAACCTTAATTAAGTCTCTTCAACCCTAAGCCAAACGCCCAAGACTCTGTATGCGTATAACTGGATTGGGCTATTCCCTTTATGATAAAGGCCCAGAAACTTGCCGGGCAAAATGTTGATGGACAAACAACTACACATCAACTTTAAACCCAAAACCTTGAAACCTATGCCCACGCCGCATTACCTTGAAACTCCCAACCCATAAAATAGCTGTAGAGGTCGGAATAATCGGTGCTAATACTACTCCTTCAAGCTAACACTGTAGACCCCAACTTCAACACCAATACCCCATTCTAAAAAAATTGCTTCTTTGGGCCTCAATCCTCAAGCCCCTAAACCCTCAACCGAAAGCCTAAGCACAGAATCCGTAGCAACGGGGTGCCCTTTTACGGGTGCAACAGTGCTTAGGAGTGGAGGAGATACTTCGCTATAGAGTACGTAAAGGCTGTTTAGACCTACTATTACGAGTTTATCCTGAGCCTTAACCCTAAACCCTTAACCTCATTCCGACCTTTGTATGGTGGGTTCGGGACGTCTTCTGCCTAGTTGGCCCTCGCGGTCCCGCTGCGTGGCTGACATGGGGCGACTCGGCGGATCACCTGGATTGGGCCCCCCAAAAAGCATATAAGCAAAATGAGGATAGGGATATCCCATATAAACCCCTTGCAAAGACCAATGAGGTAGGGATATGTTTGGTTTAGGGTTATATAGGTAAGATTGTGGGTGAGATCTGAGAGAGGCTCGCGCAGGTTTTATGAGGGGTGCATTAGATTCTCTGGCTTTGCATACTATAGGAGCCTAAATAATTACCACTACTATTTTGGGGGTGCCTTATATTTAGAAATATAAATGGGCTCCGAAATCCTCTTCTAATTATTAAGGCCTCTGTATCACCAGGGTGTGAAGCTTTATCCGGGTATGTCAGTCCTAACCCTGGATTTGATGCATGGGGTTGGGGATGTGGAATCTATACTGAACTTAGAACCCTAGCACAAATTACAATTTTAGCTGTTTCTTAGGGACTATAATAACCAAAAATTAAAAAAATAGATTTCTAAGTACCCCTAAGGAATGCGGGTGCGGCACAGTCGTGAGCTTGAGGCTCTTTTGGGCCTATGGGTCCGGATCCAAGCAGGCTTCAGGGTTCAGGTTTAAGGTTTTCTTTTAAGTGTACTGGCTAGGTCTCCCTAGCAGGTTTAAGGTTTGGAGTCTATAAGGTTTAAGGTTTAGGGTCGCAAGCGTTTAGGGTTTGCCGGTTTATAGGGTTTAGGGTTCAGACTTACTAAGGCTCTTGGTTCAGATGCTACAAGGGATTACAGGGTTTGGGCTGGAGTTAAGCGCGACAAGGCAGGGTCTAAGCAGGACGTACTCTTCTGCAGTCCGAGGAAGTTTTGGGCAGTTGGCTTGGGGTTTAAGGTCACCGGGTTCTATGTCGGGAGCCCAGAAGCAAGAACAAGGCTGCCACACCGGACCCCATCAGGTTTAGGATTTTAGGGTTTCGGGTGAGGGTTTAGGGTTTTGGATTTAGGGTTTAGGTTTTGGGAACCCACACACAAGGCCCTGAACCCGACAACACCTTGGACCTAGACCCGTTCATGCCTGCGCCCTCAGAATACACCCAAATTAACCAAGCGCAAAATTTCGCTAAATGCAGATATCCTCCTCATTATCTGGTTGTCCAGTTTAACGCCGAAAACTTGTTCACAGACGGCCTTAAACCGGGCCCTCACTTAACCGCTAACCAAAATTACACAGACGCCGCACACAAAAGAAAGAGTGAATTCCATTTCACCTTAGCCGCTGCTTCTCTGAGGCTCGATGTCGAACGTTCGATCCCGTTCTGCCAGCCTCAGTATTGGCAGGGTTAAGGGCCGAAGGGTTTACGGATCCGGGAACAAAGGAACGACACAAGAAGCCAAACGGAAGCCTCACAAGTATCCCCAAACTCTAAGGCCCATATAATCTCTACAGAACCCTCATAGAGCCTCATCGAACGCGTACATGTCCACACTTTACAATAATGTTTCGGGGTGCTAAAAGGAACCTTGAGTAAGAAGACTGGTTATTGTTCAGGCTTCCATATGGGAGTTTCCGAAAATGGGGGGACCCTAATATAGTACCTTTACATAGTAGGATTCTCATGAAGAGGACCCCCAAAATAAGGTACCCCTAATTTCGGAAACTCCAACATTATGGCTGGTCGCTGCCTGGACACTGTGCCGACAATGCCTCCACAGCGTTTCGAAGCTCCAGAATGCGCTGCAAAGCTTGCTGCGAGAGGTCCTGTGGTTGCCAATTTTCCGGTGGGTTTAGCATGGAATTTGGGGGTCGGTGTAGGGCTCTTGCTGTAACTAGGGTTTGCAGACTTTGGATCTTGCTGTTTCGGCGTCGAGGATTTGGCGACCTAAGGTTAGCTGCGGGGGCTTAACGCTTATAGGGTTTGAGGGCTCCGGGGCGGATTGGGGCCTTCAATGAAGTTTCGGGAGCAGGGTGAAATGTCGTGTTGTCGTATGAGCTCAGGGTTTAGTGCTCAGGGATTAGGGTTCAGGCTTTACGGTTTAGGGTTCAGGGTTCAGGGGCGCTTTGCAGAACCCCAGCTTCAATTTGATCTTCGGGTTAAAGGCCTTCGGTCTTCTGGATGCGGGTTTAAGCGTTCAAACGGCCCTGAATGCAACACCGGAAAACCCCAAGCCAGTTGACAAGCAGTACAAATTGAATTAAGGAATTCTGCTACGATCAATACCCCAAGGCTCTAGGGACTCAGTTTCAAGGCTTTCGGGTCCAAATACGATGCTAGACAAGGCTGATGATCCGTTTGGAGAATGAGGGTGAAGGCTCGTTTGAGTGGTTTCAGGTAGGGACAGGAGTTTTGCATCGGCAGTCATTGCGAAGACTTGAGAACAACTAACTATCGCCGTTAACTCAAGGGTCCAGGTCCCCCAATCATTGGGTACTTAACCCCTAACCCCCTAATCCTTACAACCCCAAAGCGCGATACAAAAGAAACCGCCAAGTCCCCGCCACCAGAGCCCTACACCTCTAAACCCGAAACCCTAAACCCGAAACCCCCAAGCATTAAACCCCTAAGTCCTAAGCCGCTCGAGCCTCGAACCTTCAACCCGTTCGCCACGGTCGTCGCAGACTTTTCAAGAGATGCTCCTAAACCCTAAGCCTTGAACCTTTAACTCGGGTTTAGGGCTTTTGGGTGTTCGACGGTCCTGTCCCGCATTGCCGGTATCCAGCGTCGAAATGCAAAGACGGCGAAGGTCTCCGAGTATTTCCTTCACCACCAAGCTGCTCTCTTTCACCACATCCTTAGCATAGACTCAAACATGCCAACCCTAAAGCCTGAAGTTTTTAGGAGCTCTGCACAGCTGTTCTAGGCTAGGTGTATATACGAGTATAACCCATGATCAAATGAGACTGGAGTCTCTGGTATGCCCTGGAGGGAAGGGAGCAGGGGGCTAGTTGCTGCTGCAACGGTAGGTCTGTCATGTAAGAGCTGGATTTAGGGTTTCGGATAGGGGATAGCTAGGACACGGATTGGGGGCGAAGACGACAGTATAAGTATGCAGGGCTAGACGGGTAGATTATGAGATGTACGCCATATTTACATCCTTGTAAGACTCCAAAGAAGCCTACAACAACATTTATACAATGTTAGTATAGGTATATCTGATTCGCAATGATTCCGACGTGCTGAAGTCAGTTTAGAGCTTCGATCTTGTTGCTTCCATTGGGGCGTGTCGGATAGCAAGAGTCCATATACAAGCACGCAAAAGAGCTGCCGTTTGGAGTGTCGGGTTCAGAGTTTATAGTGCAGGGTTGAGCGGTTGAGGTCTAAGGTTGAGTGTCTAGGACGACATAAGGACCCCATCAAAAGGACCCCTCACTTCAAGAAGCCTCACGTAGGGGCCTGTCTAAGTAGAATAGAGATTTTGTGGCATGTAACAGTATGATACCCATAGTCTCCATTGTATTACTTTTGTTGGTTACCCGTTTTATGTTTAAGATCCTCAAATGTAAAATTGCTTCACCAAAAAGAGGAAAAGACGAACTACAATGGAGACTATAGGTATAACTGCAAAAAGAAACTCAACACTTCTATGACTTGGAGGCTTTCACGTTGACCCTCGCGAAGTTTCCTACATCCGACCACACAGCCAATCGCCTGAAAAAGCTCTCCCCCCAATACAAAATCCCCAAGCCCTAAGGGAGTGCCGGACGTAGTTATCCTGTAGTCGAGCCGGAATATAAGGCGGAGAGGGTTCTCAATCCCAATCACAAGGTTTGGGGTCTTCAGCTCCGGAGTTTACGGGTGGAAGTGGCCTGCCGAACCCAGACATCTCAAAATCCGGAAACTGCGTTATACCCTAAGCCCGAAACCCTCAACCGTAAATTAATCCTATCAGTGCAGCCGAACTTCTCCGACCATATCAGTTCGGCTGATCACGGTGGTCATGTCGTGCTGCTGAGAAGTTCGCAATGCTTCTTGCAGTCTCTCCTTCGCAGGCTCAGTCCATGCCGAAGCTGCATGCATGCATTCGTACATACATCCATCCATGCGTGCATACATACATATATATATATATGCATATATATACACACATATTTATATACACACATGACACATGTGTGTATATTTGTATGTGTATATATGTATATATACAGAGAGACAGAGAGACAGAGAGACAGAGAGACAGAGAGACAGAGAGACAGAGAGACAGAGAGACAGAGAGACAGAGAGACAGAGAGACAGAGAGACAGAGAGACAGAGAGACAGAGAGACAGAGAGACAGAGAGACAGAGAGCCAGAGAGCCAGAGAGCCAGAGAGCCAGAGAGCCAGAGAGCCAGAGAGCCAGAGAGCCAGAGAGCCAGAGAGCTAGAGAGCCAGAGAGCCAGAGAGCCAGAGCCAGAGCCAGAGCCAGAGCCAGCCAGCCAGCCAGACAGACAGACAGAGAGAGAGAGAAAGAGAGAGAGAGGCGCCCTCGAAGCCCTAAACCCCAAAGACCCAAGTTTCTGCCGTGCAATCCCAAAGTTCCCTGGACCCCGAACCGAACCACATTTACGCAGGGCTTGGGTTTAGGGGATCTAGGATGTATTATAGTTTAGGGTGAAGCCCCCTGACCAGAATGAAGAATCTCGAACCTGAAGCCTGTTCGATTTGGGCTTCAAGGCGTTGTGCTCAAGCTGAGACTTCATGCTTGCCAACCCAACAGCCCAAGCTCTGAACTCAACACCGCACTTGAACCCTAAAATGGGTTTAGGGTTTTCGGGTTAAGGGTTCGGTAAGCCCATAATCCCATCACCCTATACTCCATACCGCTGGCCTGCTTGTCCATGATCTTGGTGGCATGGTCCTCGAGCTTTCGCCCGATGGACCTGCTCAGTTCCTGCTGACGGCATTTACGGGTTTAGGGCGCAGAGTCCAGATTTTCAGGTTTGAGGTCTAGGGCACTGGTTTCGGGTTTAGGTTCGGTTTCTGTTCAGCTTTTACTGGCTAGGTATAGGGTGTAGACTTAGGATAGACCGAATGCCAAAAAGAGCTTGAAACGGCTCTAGCTTCATGCGGAGTTTTCAACTTGCGGTTGCGGTTTGTGGGACCGTGCACTTCGCACACAGAACTCGCTAACGCAAGTTTAAGGGCTTCCATACCCTCGCAACCTGAACCCTGCGTCACTGAAAGCTCTAGGTTTGGGTGGTTTGGCCGCCTTAGGCGGTGTGCTTGGAATAGAATGGACGAAACGCCTTACTCTTCCATGCTCCCACGGGTCATCGCCAGAATAAGTACGATGCGCTCATCGCGACCTTGTCGCAAGACACGTTCACCCACGCACCATTCCCAAAACCCTAACTCAGTAACTTTAAACCCTAAAGACTTACGTAAGCCCTAAAAGGAACCTGATGCCCCTGCTCTTTTCCATGAGGCCTCCATCCTTTCGCCCTTCATCGCATTCTGAGCCTCGCCACTGAGCTGCCTCGGCATCGCGGAGAAAACACAGGCGCCGATTGACAGAAACTTGTAAGGCTTGCTGTGAGGGCTTCCTCATAGAGAGAATGAAGCAACAAGGCTTCGGAGTTAGGATTCAGACGGTCGGAGTTAGGGTAGAGGTTTTGAGGAGTTCTGTACCAGGATGAAGATTCTCTGTACTCTATGATCCTGTTCATAACTCACAACCTACAGGTGCCTTTCAGAAAAAATTGAACCCCAAGTAAGACGATCCTTGCTGTAAGGAAGACGAAATCAGAAATAACAAGCCTCTGACCTACCAAGTCCACTGCGAGTTCAACTACCACAGCGAAACAACATATCTACTATTTGCTTAAGAGCCCCCAAAAAATAAAAAAAAATATTCCTTATGGGGGTAATATAGGGATTATTATTTTTTGTTTTTGGTGGTTTCTTAAGCAAATAGCAGATATTGAGACGTACCAGGCTACAGGGCTTAGGAGATTAGGACCTACGCCCAGGGGTTTAGGATTAATAGGCATTTAGAAGTTAAAAGGCTTGGGCTATCATCTGTGTCTGGGTGCCCGATTGGTGCTTGGGGTCAAAAGATGAGGCCATGCATTCGCATTCCGGATCACAAAAACAAGAACATAGTTATATGAATCCGCACATCGACCAACGACGCTAGCAAAAAACAGCTAACATAAAAGACATGAACTATTCACCAAAGCACATGCATACAATCACAAGCACACAATCACACACGCGCGCACACAAAGAGTCTCGCTTACCGGCCTTGCATAAAGACATGAACTGAAGTTGAGAGAGAGAGAGAGAGAGAGAGAGAGAGAGAGAGAAGAGAGAGAGAGAGGGAGGGAGGGAGAGCGCTTTGTGTGACACATATGTGCTTGTGCGAACATGTGCGAGTGCTTCTGCCGTTTGCAGGCTAGCAGTATCAGGAAGGCGGGCTGATATGTGCATTCATTTATGTATGCATATTTATATGCACGCATATGTATATGTGTAAATGTGTGTACATGTAAATTATATTTGAACAAACATATGAAATTGTATGACAACATACGGTATTAAAATACAACATGATACGGTATGATACACTATGATACGATATGATATGGTGTGATATCGTATGATATAAAACGATACGGCATGCTATGTTTGGTATGATATGATATAGCAGGACGCAATATAACACGATGTGGTAACCGTACTATAGGGTGACACAATACCCTCATCTTGATATGTTATACCAGGCAACAAAATGATGTAGTATAGCACAATACATTGAAATATATCGGCAATTTATGTTAATATAGCAAAATATCATACAAAAAATGCAAAGTGAAAATGGTGCATAATAAAACATAGCATATTGTGATATGGTATCATATAGTATGATATAGTACAATGTCATAAAACATAATATCACACAACTTGATTTAGCACCGCATAATGTAACATGATACGGGCTGATGTGATATAACATGATAACCTATGACAGACTGTACGTCCATGCATGCATGCCTACATAAGCAGACATAGTTCAGTTCAAAGAGGTATGTATTTATGAACGCATGCATGCATGCATGCATGCATGTACGTAGTTACGTAGGTAGGCAGGTAGGTAGGTAGGTAGGTGTATATATGCATATATGTATCTACGTGAATGTAGCATAGAGTGCGCACGCACATCAAGTGCAAGCGCATGCTTGGGAAGAAACAACTGCCCTAAACCCTAGACCCTAAACCGGGCCAGAAGCTAAGGGCATGGCTTCGCTGCTTCATTGGCACGGGAGATATCCTGGAGACCGAAGGGTTTTCTGAGCTTGCGGTTGGTCATATAAATCCTGCACTACCTTGCTGGCCCTGAACTAAACCCTAAACCGTGGGGGTCTAGGGTTTAGGGTTTTAATAGGGTTTAGGGTTTAGGGTGCATATTCCTTGGTCATGGGTACTGCAGGATTTATATCATCAACCGTTGTCGTTTGTGAACATATCTTGCCGGACATCCACTGATGTGGACCCCCTCAGTGGTAAACCCAACGCCCTTGACAAGGATTACTTGGAGGTTCATGGGTAGTTATAAGTAGGGTTGTAAGTGCCCTAATATGAGTTATAAGTATACTTACCCTACTTATAACCCCACTTATAACTACCCATGAACCTCCAAATACAGCCGAACTCTTGACGTTAAGGCCGCGAAAGATTCCTATGGGTGGTCGGTATTCTTATCCTAGGATGCCCAGTAACTTAGGAATACATAGGGCTCCCTTCTTGGTATTGGGCAACTTTACAGGGAACCTAGGAATACAAAAAGGGAATAAGGGTACTGCTGGGCATCCTAGTATACCCAAAAATAGTACCCAGGTTTCGGTCTTAAAACTCAAACAAGGTCCCGATCATTTAGACTACTGCCTGTGCGGCTAAGTTTCCGCAAGGTCTGCTGAGAGCAGCGCAGGCAAGAGCATGAATCGTGATATATCGTGAGTTACGACACAGCAGCATTAAGTAAAGACAATATCAGGTATTCGTCACTACGACGCAAGCCGCTTAATATAGGGTTCTTCATAATTAGAACAGGGTTTGGGGTGTGACATACTGCATAATTCGTTATCTGAAGGAACCCTAAGGAATCATATTACTTACACTGCTCACCTACTAATTAAAGATTAAGATCAGGGAGATGCTTGGGGATATTTACATAGACCCTCTCAAGAGAAGGTCCCTTTCAAGAGCTCTCCCTCATACTAACTGCCTAGTAACCTAGCAGGTATAACAAGGAACCCTAAAGAATAATATAGGAACCCTAAGAAACAGTACAGTTATCTTAAGGAAACCTATGGAGTAATATTACTTACGCCCACTGCACCCAACCCTACTTAGTAAGTAAGGTTATAAGTATAATTCTGGGTTACAAGTAGCTATAAGTATATAGTTACCCCTAATTATAAACCTAGTTACTAAGTCCCATGATCATTTAAGTAGACCCTAAACCCTAAACCCTATAAATCCCATTAAGGAACCCCTATAGATCCGTGTAAGTAGAGCAGCCTCCACTGCCCCGGCCAGCTTTCGTTCGATCGTCTGCTCCATGCTGCTCATGACCTCAAGTTAGCTTAGGTTTTTTTTTTTGGGTTTAGGGTTTAGGGTTTAAGGCTTCGGGTTTGGGGCTTGGGGTGTAGGGTTTCGGGCTCAGGGGTTGGGGTTTAAGGCTGAGGGTTTAGGGCTTAAGGTGTAGGGTTGCTTAAACGACAGAGTTCTAGGCAAGGGAGATGAGAAAAAAACCCAGCGACGACTCCAGAAGAGCTGGCTGACTTATACAGTTGAAGCCCAAAAGTTGGAAACCCATTAGCCTCCATCCTCAAGAGCAATATATAGGGAATCCCAGCACTGTTCGTCCTCAATATGGTTTCCAACTTTTTGGGGTTTACTATACATGGAAGTACATTGCAAGAGTCACTGAGCACCGACAAGCTTGACATGCATGGAGGAACGAATGACGCTAAAATTCAATAAACAAACACACGCACGTAGGCCCAGAACAGCTGGGTGACCCTACAGCCTAGCAAAAATGGACTCTAAACCCCTAAACCCAAAACCCCTAAACCCCTAAACCCTAAACCCTAAACCCCTAAACCCTAAAGCCCTAAAGCCCTAAAGCCTAAACCCTAAATCCCTAAACCCCTAAACCCTGAACCCTAGACCGAGCGAAGCTCTGACCCACGACCGTCCGAGCACCGCACTCGCTCCGCGTTGGCCTGCGGATGAAAAGAAAGGCAGGGCACGGGGTTTGGGCCGGGTTTTGGGTTTTGGGTTTGGGTTTTGGGTTTTGGGTTTGGGGCTTTGGGGTTAGGGTTTTGGGCTTTGGGGTTTAGGGTTTAGGGGTTTAGGGTTTAGGGATTGGGTTTAGGGTTTTGGGTTTGGGGTTTTGGGTTGAAGGTTTAGGATTTAGGGCCCTAAACCTTGAACTGAAAAAGCCGCAGTGCCGACACCTCAAGCACTAGAAACACAAAGCTCCTAAACCTCATGGCTTACGGTCCAAGACACTGAAAACCTGGCACAACAAAAGCAGGCAGTGTGTTCGCATGATGATGACGACTGATGAAATGATGATGCTGCTGACGATGATGATGATGATGACTGGAATTACCACTACCACTACCATCACTACTACTGCTGTTTCAGCTGCTGCTGCTGCTTCTGCTACTACTACTACTACTACTACTACTACTACTACTACTACTACTACTACGACTGCTGCTAACATGATGAACGTTGAAAAAATGATGTTATCAGAATCAGTACCCTAGTCATACCTTTGTTGTTCATAGTGCTGGTAGTCTTAGTAGTGTTAGTACTACGGGGCGGAGCAGTACGTAGTAGTCGCCGTCGTCCTTCAACACGAACTACGTAAACCGTCGAAGATAATCAACCGGCCGACGGAGAGGTTTGCAATTTAGAGTTGCAAGTTCATGGTGTAGCATGCAGGATCGACTTCGCAATTTCAGGAACCCTGCCGTCCCAATGCATGGGAAACTTTTTGCGCGCTCTGCTACACCGAGAACTAGAGAACATGTAAGTCTTACTCGGGTTCCTAGCGCCCAAAACCTGTGAACCTGAAACTCTAGATCAAAAACTAGCTGCTAGCCCCTGGTCATAAAGCCATATAGCCTCTAAGCCCTAAAGCCCTAAGCCCCAAAGCCTAAATTCTAAAACATAAACCCTCAACCCTAAATCTCGTCCCAAAGCCCCCAGCCCAGCAGCATTCCCACCTGGAACTCCCTCGCTTGAGCCTGCAGGCCATCACTCACTCGATCTGCCACCTGCGGGTTTAGGGTTTATAGGTTTAGGGTTTATAGGTTTAGGGTTTGGGGTTTAGGGTTTAGGGTATAGGGTATAGGGTTTAGGGCTTGGGCGGGTTCTGGGCTTTCGGGTTTGGCACAAGGCAACATGGCTTTAGGGCTTCGGGTTTAGGGCTTATGGTTTAGGGGCTATATGGCTTTAGGGCTTGAGTTGAGGGGTGCTCAGCTTGGGGCTGACGTGGGGATGTGGGTTTGAGCGTTATGGCTGGATCTGTCGCCTTGAGACGGCCTGGGAAAAAGGCCAGGTTGTAGGGGTTAAGGCTTTGGGGGTTAGGGGTTCCTACTTATTGGGTGTCATGGGGAACTAAAGGTTAACCTTTTTGGGTATAGAGACTATCTAGGGACTATACTACCCAAACAAGGTTAAAGGTTACCTACTCTACTACTAGTGGTGTAGGGTAACTATACGTATAACTACTTATCACCCCAATTTAGGTACTTATAACCTTACTTACTAAGATCCATGATCCTCCAAGTAGGGTTTTGGGGTTGAGGGGGAGATAAAGAGACCTCTCCGATGCTCCAATGTCGGTCCCCTACTCCCGAAGCGGATCTGAATCTTAGGGTTGAGGGTTTCTGAAACCCCAATCCTAAACTTTAAAACCTAAACCCCCGTTTCAAAGTGTTGCAGATTCAGATTCGCCTGCCTTACTAAACCCCAACCCTAAACCTGAAATCCCCAGCTGTGCAGGCTGTGCCCTGGAGTCGGACTCTTTTTTCTGAGGCTGTTGCCTATCTGTTCCGGGGCTCCAATGTTCCGGATCGTTGATTCAAGAGGAGAGGTGACAACAAAGTGTGTCGAGCAGTACCCGGAACGCCCTGAATGGCCCTAAATCCTAGACCCTGAGTTTCAAACCCTCTTTTAGGTCCTCCTGGGCTTGGGTTTAGGGGTTTAGGGCTTGAGGGGCCTGCCAAGAACCCAGGAACCACATAAGAAGCAAAAGGGAAACCACGGAACCAGCTGACGTTTCTCCCATCCAGATGCAGCGTTCCACAAGGGAGACAAGAGCAACACCCCTAAACATCCCCTAAACTTGGAGAGGGCCCTCAACACGTTTATTAAACTCCATATTTGGGGCTTAAACAGGCTGTTTCAGAGGCAGAACGGGCCTGAGTTTCCACATAAACGGGCCTGAGTTTCCACATAAACGGGCCTGAGTTTCCACATAAACGGGCCTGAGTTTCCACATAAACGGGCCTGAGTTTCCACATAAACGGGCCTGAGTTTCCACATAAACGGGCCTGAGTTTCCACATAAACGGGCCTGACATAAACGGGCCTGAGTTTCCACATAAACGGGCCTGAGTTTCCACATAAACGGGCCTGAGTTTCCACATAAACGGGCCTGAGTTTCCACAAAAACGTGCTTGAATTTCCACATAAACGGGCCTGAATTGCCACAAAATAGTGCTAGAATCTCCACATGAACGGGCCTGAATTGCCACAAAATACTGCTAGAAATTCCACATAAACGGGCCTGAATTGCCACATAAACGGGCCTGAATTTCCACATAAACGGGCCTGAATTTCCGCATAAATGGGCCTGGAGCCTGAATTTCGACACGAACGGGCATGAGTTTCCACATAAACTGGCATGAGTTTCCACATAAATGGGCTTGAATTTCCAGATAAACGAACCTGAATTTCGACATAAACAGGCATGAGTTTCCACATAAACGGGCATGAGTTTCCACACAATCGGGCCTAGGCCTAGTTTCCACACAGCCGGGCCTGAGTTTCCAATCATAATGCTTGATTGTCTTTCCATGTAAAAAAAGCTGCAGTCTCCACTTCCGCAAACAGGCTTGAGCGGCTTGAAGTCTAAGTGAGTTCCACATGGGCAAGCATACCGCATTCTCGGCACTTTTCCAGCTGCCGGTTGCTGTTGCGTGCCAGCAGCACACGGAGCTGAAGCCGAGTAGAGTAGTTGGCCTCAAGGTACGCAGAGGATTTGAAAGCGTTTAGCAGTTTCACTGTCACAATTTTTAATTTTATTTACCAAGCTCCAAGATTGCACACAGGCAGCTGCGGCTACAGCACGAAGAAGACCCTCTCATTCAATGACCAGACCCGGTCCTATATGTCCAAACTCCACCTAGACCTAAACCTACAACCTGGAAACCAGAGCCCCAAGCCCAAGCCCAAGCCCCTAAACTAAACCTAAAGCCTAAAGTCCTAAAGTTTAAGATTTAAGGCGTTTAAGGGCCATGGGCCGCACAGGCCCCTTGAAGTAAAGGGTCGTGGGCAGTAGAGCCCTTAGATTTAAAGTGTGAGTCATGGCTGTAGAACCCCTAGCCTCAAAGACTCAAAGGGTCATGGGCCGTAGAGCCTTAAAATAAAGGGTCGTGGGCCTATAGAGTTTTAGAGTTCAAAGGTCAGTCATGGGCCGTTGCACCCACTAATTTTAAAGCCTAAACCCCAAACCCCAACACGCGGGCTTCTTCGGACCGCACTCTCGGATCGCAGCTGGTGTCCAGCCTCAGCAACACACATCACAGATTTGTGTGGCAAATTACAGAACGCAACCGGTTGTGTTCTGTTATTTGCCACAAATTCTCTGGCCTGGGGCAACCAAAACATCAGAAGAGGAAACCGCAAACCCGGATTTGTGTGGCAAAACACAGATCGCAACCGGTTGCGTTATGTAATTTGCCACCAATTCTCTGGCCTGGCGAAACCAAAACATCAGAAGAGGAAACCGTAAACCCGGATTTGTGTGGCAAAACACAGATCGCAACCGGTTGCGTTCTGTAATTTGCCACAAATTCTCTGGCCTGGGGCAACCAAAACATCAGAAGAGGAAACCGCAAACCCGGATTTGTGTGGCAAAACACAGATCGCAACCGGTTGCGTTCTGTAATTTGCCACAAATTCTCTGGCCTGGCGAAACCAAAACATCAGAAGAGGAAACCGCAAACCCGGATTTGTGTGGCAAAACACAGATCGCAACCGGTTGCGTTATGTAATTTGCCACCAATTCTCTGGCCTGGCGAAACCAAAACATCAGAAGAGGAAACCGTAAACCCGGATTTGTGTGTCAAAACACAGATCGCAACCGGTTGCGTTCTGTAATTTGCCACAAATTCTCTGGCCTCGGGCAACCAAAACATCAGAAGAGGAAACCGCAAACCCGGATTTGTGTGGCAAAACACAGATCGCAACCGGTTGCATTCTGTAATTTGCCACAAATTCTCTGGCCTGGCGAAACCAAAACATCAGAAGAGGAAACCGCAAACCCGGATTTGTGTGGCAAAACACAGATCGCAACCGGTTGCGTTCTGTAATTTGCCACAAATTCTCTGGCCTGGGGCAACCAAAACATCAGAAGAGGAAACCGCAAGCCCGGATGTCGGGTGGCAAAACATTCGGGAAGTCCACGAGAACTAGTAGGAAACTGTGGGACAACTCGGATGGGTTGAATGGAAACTGGTGTGTAAACGTTGTGGAACATCGGGCGGGTTATGCGAAAACTCTTGTGAAAATCCTGGTGGTTTGTACGGAAACTCTTGTGGAAACTCTGGCGGTTTGTGCGGAAACTCTTGTGGAAACTCTGGCGGTTTGTGCGGAAACTTTTGTGGAAACTCGGGCGGTTTATGCGGAAACTCTTGTGGAAACTCTGGCGGGTTATGCGGAAACTCTTGTGGAAACTCTGGCGGGTTATGCGGAAACTCTTGCGGAGACTCTGGTGGGTTATGCGGAAACTCTTGTGGAAACTCTGGCGGGTTATGCGGAAACTTTTGTGGAAACTCTGGCGGATTATGCGGAAACTCTTGTGGAAACTCTGGTGGGTTATGCGGAAACTCTTGTGGAAACTCTGGCGGGTTATGCGGAAACTCTTGCGGAAACATTTGCCGAAATGGTGTGGAAACCAACGAAAAAAGCTTAATACTTTAGAATGCACACGTTTTAAGATGACAAAAGCCAGAGTTTCCACAAAAGTTTCCGCACGAACCGCCATAGTTTCCACAAGAGTTTCCGCATAACCCGCCAGAGTTTCCACAAAAGTTTCCGCATAACCCGCCAGAGTTTCCACAAGAGTTTCCGCATAACCCGCCAGAGTTTCCACAAAAGTTTCCGCATAACCCGCCAGAGTTTCCACAAGAGTTTCCGCACAAACCGCCAGAGTTTCCACAAGAGTTTCCGCACAACCCGCCCGAGTTTCCACAAAAGTTTCCGCACAAACCGCCAGAGTGTCCACAAGAGTTTCCGCACAACCCGCCCGAGTTTCCACAAAAGTTTCCGCATGACCCGCCAGAGTTTCCACAAGAGTTTCCGCACAAACCGCCAGAGTTTCCACATAACCCGCCAGAGTTTCCACATGCATGGGCCCAGGCTCGGGCCCCGGGACCAGGGCAACAGGGTATATAGTATATTAGTATATTATAACGGGATCGGTTAAGGCTTAAGGTTTAGGGGTTCCGAGTTTCAGTGAAAGGGTTTCCGGTTTCAGTATTCAAAGGAAAGTTTGCAACCCCCAACATCACTGAACCCGAAACCCCTAAACCTCGAAGGCCAAAACACAGCACTTCACAGCCCCACCTCATCCTTTCTAATTCTAAACTCTGGACTCTAGACTCTAGACTCTCTAGACTCACTAGACTAGACTCTCTAACCCTTCGAAAACTAGAGACAACCAAAAACCGAAAGCCTAAGCTTGGCTTACACCCTCCACCCGCCCAAAACGCGCCCCAAGCTCACGACCTGGACCTGAACCTTAATCTGAAGCAAAAACAACAAGCGAGCAAAACAAAAAAGGAAAAACCCGGTCAACACTGCTGCGGATCTTAACCCTAAACTGAACCATTTCTATAAACCCTCAAACCAAACCCATTGCCACTAGGGCTCTAACCACGGCCCATGACCCCTGCTACTGCTAAGGGCTGCACAGCCTGTGACTCTCTTAGGGCCGGGATTACAGCCCAGTCCCCTTGACATGCTACACAGCCCATACCACCCAAAAGCCTAAGCCCTAATTTGACCACCCACAACCCCCTAGGGCCTAGCGGGCCTTTCCTGGACCCTTTAACTCTAACTCTACGGGCTCTACGACCCACGACCCATTAAGGTCTCTACGGACCATGTCCCTTTAACTTTAACGTTAACTCTAAGGGCCTAAGGCCTAAGGGCTCTACGACCCACGACCCTTTATTTTAAGGTCTCTACGGACCATGACCCTTTAACTCTACGGGCTCTACGACCCACTACCCTTTATTTTAAGGTCTCTACGGACCATGACCCTTGACCCTTTATTTTAAGGTCTCTACGGACCATGACTCTTTAACTTTAACGTTAACTCTAAGGCTCTAAGGGCTCTACGACCCACGACCCTTTATTTTAAGGTCTCTACGGACCATGACCCTTTGAGGGCTCTACGGCCCATGACCCTTTAACTTTAATGTTAACTCTAAGGGCTCTACGACCCACGGCCCTTTAGTCCTTTAGTTTAAGGTCTCTACGGACCATGACCCTTTCAGGGCTCTATACTCTACGACTCTACGGCCCATGACCCTTTAACTCTGCGGGCACTACGACCCACGACCCTTTAGCGCAAACCCCTTAACCTTTCCTAAACCTAACTAAACCTTAACGCTGGCTGAATCTGGGGCGCCCGGCCCATGACTCGAAGAAGGTCGCATCCATCAGCGCGGGGTTTGGGTTTAGGACTTAGGAGACTTAGGGCTTAGACCTGGACCTAGGACCTAGGACCTAGGACCTAGGACCTAGAACCTAGGCCTAGGACCTAGGACCTAGACCTAGGACCTAAATACAGGATCTAAAGAATCTAAATCTAAAGTTTCTAAAGCCTAAAGTTAGGCGCTGGCCTAAGTTTAGGGGTTCGGTTTCAGCACCATGTTGAAACTGCTGTTTGGAAACTACAATATGGAAACCCATGCTGTAAAACACGAATGATGTGCAAACTCATGTTTTCAAAACCACGAATGATGTGCAAACCCATGCTTTCAAAACAACGAATGATGTCCAAACTCATGGTTTTGAAAGCACGAACAATGTAGAATAATGTGGAAACTCATGCTTTGAAGGCCACGAATAATGTGGAAACTCATGCTTTGGAGGCCACGAAAACTGGAGAAACTCATGCTTTGGAGGCCACGAATAATGTGGGAAACTCATGCTTTGGAGGCCACGAAAACTGTGGAAACTCATGCTTTGGAGGCCACGAACACTGTGGAAATTCATGCTTTGGAGGCCACGAATCATGTGGAAACTCATGCTTTGGAGGCCACGAATAATGTGGAAACTCATGCTTTGGAGGCCACGAAAACTGGAGAAACTCATGCTTTGGAGGCCACGAATAATGTGGGAAACTCATGCTTTGGAGGCCACGAAAACTGTGGAAACTCATGCTTTGGAGGCCACGAACACTGTGGAAATTCATGCTTTGGAGGCCACGAATCATGTGGAAACTCATGCTTTGGAGGCCACGAATAATTCCAACCCTAAACCCTAAACCGAAGGCCGTTGGAAGATGCCCGACTGAGTCTTGAAAGGCCGAGAACAAGATGATCTTCCATGGTCTGTGGTCTGATCGGCACCATATCCCAACTGTTCAGGGTTTAGGGCGTTCCTGCTACTGTTGATGATATATATCCTGCATTACCCATTTTAAGGAATATACCATAATTCCCATAGTTTCGGGTCCTTAAGGTGATGCAGGATTTATATCATCAACCGTAGCTGCGATCTTGAGAGCTGCCAGAGCTCTCAGAGCTGTCTGTGTCGTGCAAAGAGGAGTGCATGTCCTTGTTTGCACCAGCTAGTAGCAAGCGCACGATCTCAACATGTTTCTTTCCGGATGCCAGCATGAGTGGGGTGTCGCCATTAGCATCTTTGCAGTCCTTGTCAGCTCTGGCATCTAACAGCATTTGGACAATCTCACGCTGCCCACTGCACGAGGCACGCGTCAGAGCCGTCTCTCCGTTCTGGCTGACCAAGTCCAGCTGAGCACCAGCATCAATCAGCAAACACACAACTTCAGGCAGCCCGTTGCGACATGCGCGAAACAGGGCGGTCTCGCCATCACGGTCAACCGAGTTTATGCAAGCATGGGCTTCCACGAGCAAGCGAGCAGTTTCAATGTACCCTTGCACAGATGCGCAAATGAGAGATGTTTCGCCAAGTCGGTCTTTTGAGTCCCTCTCGGCACCAGCATCTAAGAGCAAGCGAACAATCTCAACGTGCCCATGTTGAGATGCGTGTCTGAGCGCCGTCCTGCCCCCACTGTCTGCCCAGTCAACGTTGGCACCAGCTTCGACTAGCAAGCTCGCAGCCTTGACGTGTCCACGCCGACAGGCGCGGATCAAAGCTGTCATTCTGTGACCGCCCACCAAGTCCGTATCAGCGTTGGCTTCTAGCAACAAGCGCACAACCTGGTTGCGCCCCCTGGCAGATGCACGCATTAGAGCGGTCTCGCCGTCATCGTGGCCTCTCGGGCATCTCGCGTCTTTGTCTGCACCAGCCTGTATCAACAAGCGGACAACCTCGGCAAGGCCAGTCGCAGCGGCAAGAAAAAGCTCCTTCACAACCTTGCTCTGTGTTCCACTGACATTGGGCAGCAACAGAAGCTGCAGCTCAGATGGTGAGCTCAGCTTAGCCTCATCCTCCAACATGGTGCCGCAATCCAAGAGCTCCTGGCTTCTGCAGGGGTAATCTTGGGGCCCCTATGGCTACCCATAGGCCCCAAAGTAGTTCCTTTTTGGGGTTCATATATAGAATCCTACAAGGTAATCCTATCAAGGAACTACTTTGGGGCCTATGGGTAGATTGTGTTTTCTTACCTTCTGGCATATTTACGTACAACTCGAATAAACTAACCATAAGCATAGTGTGGGTAATGCTTCAAGTTTCTATATTCGCCCTAGTTGTAGAGAAAAGCATCGAGTCCCGAGCCCGACCTTGCAGCTTGAAGCTTTACAACCTACCTTTTCAGGGTTTCTGGCGATGGTTTCTAAAGTCTTCCAACTTTTTCTCAGACCAACACAAGCATTCAAAAAGCATCTCCACAAGGAGACCTCTGGTTTAGGGGTTTAGGGGCTTAAAGGTTTAGGGTTTAGGGTTTAGGGTCTAGGATACCCAGTAACCTAAGAAAAAAAAAGGCCTCTCTTTTTGGTATTGGGTAACTTATAAGGAACCTAGGACTACAAAAAGGGAATAAGGGTACTACTGGGCATCCTAGGGGTTGAGGGAACCCGAGAAGCAACTAAAGAGCTCCTGTAGGCAGACCGGGAAGCCATGCATTTCCCTCAGGCGCAACTTCCTGGGCTTTGAAGTACCCAGAGACTCCAATATCCCTTAACTAAGGAATATACCTTAAGTTATGGTAGGAGCCCTAATATGATTTAAGGCATATTCCTTAATTAAGGGATATTGGAGTCTCTGGGTAACCAGGGGAAAAAAAGTATAGGCTTTTATTTCAGAATGGCTCCCTTTAAGTAACAGGTCCCCAAAAAAGGTATCTTAAAGTATGGTACTCCAAAGCCCGGTTTCAGGGCAGCAACGTCTTCCACCTCCTCCGTGCCCACCACCGCAAGCTCCGTCCCAGACATCGCGTACACACGAAGCATCTTGTGAGGAAAGCTGGAAGCGACCAAAGCTACTTTGGCTTAGGATCTGGCGTGTAGGGTCTGCACCTTAACCTACCAAAACATATATACTTTTTTGTAGGGTCCCTATAAATCCCATATGAGGGTTTATAATAAGAACCTACAAAAAAATAGGGTTAGGCTAAGGCAGGGCCTGGGGTCATCGGGCTCAGCCCCTCAGAGACGGTGCTGCAGCCAGCGAATTGTGAAAGATCGGACAATATGCGCCATCACAAGTGGACCCGGGACAAAGGCTGCAGAGGAGATCATTGACAGCAGGCATCTGCAAGCCCTGAAGACAAGAACCTGCTTTTGCTCGTTGCTGTTTCGAGCTTATGAGCCCCCTAAACCCTAACCCTGACCCTTAACTCCTAAACCCTATACCCCAACCATACGGCTTCAAGTTACCAGATCGGGCCGTTCGGTTCGCGCTCTCTGCAAGATCTCTCGGACATGAACCGAGTACTGTAGGGGCCTTCATAACTAGAATATATGTGATAAGGAATCCCCAAAACCCTGTTCTAAATATTAAGGCCCGGAGAGGACGCCCTGCCTGCTCCATTCGAGCCCTTGCTCGTTCCACCAGCTCACCCATGCTCCTGTGCTGAGCCTACTAGATTCTTGGCTTACGGTTCAGGGTTCAGGGTGTATGGTTTAGGATTCTTGGGGGTCTAGGGATTTAGGGTTTAGGGGTTCAGGGTTTCATGTTTAGGGGGCTTGTTAGGGCCATCAAAAAAACTCGCAATATGACTTCAGACAAAAGAGACCAACGCTGAAGGGTTTGAGGGCATCAAGGGTCTGTGGTCGAAAGGTGCTTCAGCGTTTGGGGCTGGAGAGCGGAGGGACTGTCATATATATTTACGGAGATATACTTACAGGATCCTGGGACTTAGTAACTCGGGTTATAACTATAGGGTAACTATACTTATAACTACTTATAACCGCAATTGAGGTACTTATAACCTTACTCACTAAGTCCCATGATCCTCCAAGTAGGGCCTTAGTAAGTAGAATAGGGTTTTAGGCCCCAATTGTACTTACCATAATTACGATCTAAAATGGTATTGGTATTCAGGCCCATATATTAGCGCCCAAAGCCCTGAACAATAAATTGAACCCCAAAGTTTAGGCCCTGCACCCTTGGCCTACGGCCTAAATCCAAAAACAGATGTTGAGTCCTCAGTAATGCTATCCTATGATGGCCCCTACAACACTGCCATGTGACATCTCCGAAACTCTAATTTCTTGAGGTCTTACGCATTCAGTCTCCTGCATTAAACCCGAAGCCTTGACTATGCGGACAGGGCACTCGCCCAGCCGCTGTTGAAGGCTGCCCTCCAGAGCACGCTCCTTTTGTTGTAGGGTTGCAGGGGTCCAGGTTCGAAAAGGGCATTTATGGGTTTAAGGCTTTAGGGTTCTGACCCTTAAGTGCTTCTTCTTTGTTCGCCAGGATGGGGACACAGGGTCCAAAAGGTTTTGTGTTCAGGGTTCGGGGTTTGGGGCTTGGGGTTTTGCGCATTGGGCTTGAGGTCTTGGCCTTACGGGGGTGTTGAGGCTGTGGGTGAACTGGGACTCCGGTATATTGCTTAACGTGACATATAAGGGCGCTAATGGTTGGAACATAGTTTGGGGCGCTAATGGTTGGAATATAGTCTTGGGACATAATATAGTGTACTTGTAAGGAGCCCTAAGGAATAATGTTCGTAACTACTGTGGCTTCTGTATTACATCTGCTGCATAACCCTGTAACTGAGGCCCCCTCAGCATAAAACCGGGGGCCGAACCCTGAAACTTGGAAGCCTAGAGCTTGACATTGAAATTCCTGCAGCTAAACATTAAAACCTAAACCCGGACCCCTGAGCCACCACTAGGCATGAGCGTCATGGTGGCATGGAGTTCTTGTATGTTCTTGCGTCTCGCAGGACCCGGTTCGCAGATTGAGGGTTGGGGCTTTGCGTAAGTTTTGGGTTGCCCCGAATTGGTCTAAACAATGACAATACTAGTCCTTGCGGTTCTGGAATAGAATTACACTACCCTGTAAAGCCCTGCGGTACATACTAAGGCCTGTATAAAAGTACGAGCCCCTCCTGTGCACGGAGCGTGGCTTGGACCGTCATCTCGATCGTTTGCTCCATTTTCGAATCTCCCCTTGGGGTGGGGCAGCACATGGTTAAGGATTTCTGGCGGCCTACACCTTAAACACTCAAGACTCTTGGGGCCTGACACGCTTGGGATTCGAAGTTTGGGCTCAAGGAAGCCCCTTAAACACGAGCCGAAGTCACCACCTGAGGTCTGCGGTGGCGTTTTCGAGCACTGAAAGCTTGAAAAAACCCAAACCATTCAATCCGTTGAGCCCCTAAACCCTAAGCCTCTAAAAACCAGGAAACCATGATAGATTCAAGTTCAGTTCTGGGATCTGTCTTCGAACCCACCGAGAGAGCTGAGAGCATCATTCGGGTTGAGCTTGAACTGGTGTCAGAGATGACTGGGATTAGGGTTTAGGGTTTAGGAGTAGGGTATAGTTTATAGGGTTCCTTTAAAGGGATCTGTAGGGGCTCTATAATGGGGCTGGGGCTTGGGACTTCAGCTCAAGACGTTTCAGCTTTGGCTGTGTGGCAGGCTCCAAATCCTCAAATGTCAGCTTTGAGCAGCTGGCCCGACCTAAACTGAGACTTGCGACGCGAGCTTTCCGGTTCAGGTTACAGTTAAAGTCTAAACCCCATAAGTGTATGGCATCTAACTGCCCTAAACCCTAAACCCCACAAGTATACTTAAAGGGTCATGGGACTTAGTAACTAGGGTTATAATTAGGGTAACTATACTTATAACTACTTATAACCCCCAAGTAAGGTACGTATAACCCTACTTACTAAGTCCCATGATCCTTCAAAAGAACCCTAAACCCTAAACCCCATACATCCCTTTAAGGAACCCTATAGATCCCTTTAAAGAGCCCTTTAAGGACCCTTACTAAGTCCCATGATCCTCCAAGTAAGGAATCTAACTACAGGAGGCTGTAGCCCGGCTTTCTGGGGGGCAGAGGACCTAAACGAGCCCCGGAGTCCGCCTCACCCACGGGTGTAGGCTCCTTTGGACTTAGGGTTTTGGGTTTTAGGTTTAGGGTTCAGGTGTATTCTTTATACTGTGAGTTCTAAACCTCGTATGTAGGAACCGAATTATCACACTAATCACTACTCTGTCCGATTCACAAAAGCTTTTGAATTTGAATAAGGTTTTGAGTTTGAATATACTCTATTATTACAACAGGGAACCCTCAAGACAAGGTTCTCAAATTATTCCGACCCCTATATTACCCATGAGCCCTATACCCTAGACCCTACAGTAGAAGCCAGAAAGTTGGAATATCATTATCGTAACCCCTTTAAGGTAAATTATAAGGGATCCTACCATTAATCCATATTCCAACTTTCTGGAGTTCCCTTTAAACCCAAAACCTTGCTGCGAGCCAGGCCGCTGGTCGCAAAGCCTGCGCATGACGTCCGCCTGGAACTCGCTTTGCTGCTGGAGTGCCGCGAGGGTATCCTGGCAGGCTCCTACAGAAATAGTATAGTATCACAGAGTAGAGTATATATCATATTACAGGAAGGCCTCGAAAGGTCTGCAAAAGACCCTTCAACTTACAACTAGTCATGCTTTCATCATGCAACCGTTGTAAAACCAGCAGAACAGACAAGATGGTGTCGGCTGCTGAGCGGACCTTTCGTCCTTCGTGTCATTTGCGCTACTGATGCCGTTGCTCTTCTTTTGTTATGCTGGTGATGAAGGTGATGATGATGACGATGATGACTAAAACCCTAAACCCTAAACCCCAAACCCTAAACCCTAAACCCCTATGACGATGGCTGGGAAGATGATGTTGAAGGTCGTCTTGGGATGTCTTCAGAAGCTCCTGGTGTAGTAGGGCACGGGTCATTCTTGCGGCCTATGCCCGCCCCTACACCCTAAACCCCTAAACCCCTAAACCCCTAAACCCTAAACCCTAAACCCCTAAACCCTAAACCCCTCAACCCTAAACCCTAAAGCCTAAACCCTAAACCCTAACAATATGGGGGGGTTTCTTAACATCCTGGGCCTCAATCCGATTCAGGCGGTCGTCGCACATCCTGGGCCGATATTCGGGTGCCCAGGCTTCTCACGCTTCATCAAAGGGGAGAAGGAGGGACCCTTAATGGGGACCCCTACCCTATCATGGCCTATATAATGGGTGTAGAATGGCGATATTAAGGGTATATACCTCGGCGGTCCCTATTAAGGGTCCCTCCTTTTACCCTTGGACTTCAGTTACTTCCCATAAACTGACGGATAAGAGAGTCTGGAGCATGCGGGGCTTACGGATTTGGGAATTGGGATTTAGGGTGGTTTGGGCTTTATTATAGGGTTTAGAGCTTTGGGTTTGGGGCTTCAGATTAGAGGGTTTCGGGTTCAGGACTGTGGAGGTCCGGTGGCTGGATTTAAGGCTACTTGGAGGATCACGGGACTTAGTAAGTAAGTTTATAAGTTCTTTAATTGGGTTATAAGTAGTTATAAGTATAGTTGCCTTAAGTATAACCCTAGTTACTAAGTCCCATGATCCTTTAAGTAGGTGTTTGGGTTTATTGTTAACAGCGGGACGCACGAATCCTTTTTGTACTTGAGCCACGAGGTAGCGTAGGTAAGACATGATGACTATAGCATACAAAGAGAATAAAAACACCCCCCGCGCATTGAAGCGCAGCGGAGGAGGCGTATTACTACTCTACGCTACTCTGAGGCAGCACTCGCTTTGCGAGGCTAGCAAAAGATCTTGAAATGCAAACTCAAATCACTCCACTAAGCGGGTCAGCAAACCAACCCGTCAGGGCGGTGATGCACGGGCGTGCCGATGCGGAGGCTGGTGTGATTGAACCAGCACGTCAGTGCGGTGAGCTGCAGAAAAACGGATCAAAATGCAAGTCGCTGTTGCGTGCGACTCATGCATCTTCTGACACGGTGCCCTCAAGACGCGGAGCACCTTCCGGTGTCGGATGCAATAGGCTAGTATGCCCTGTACCATGCTCCATTGGAGTCTTGGCGATACTCCTCCCACCCGCGCAGGAACCAGGCGATTTGCTCAACAGGGTGTTGAACCAAGACCTCCCGGTCGGTGTAAGCGGGAATGACAAAAGGCACCTCAGTGGGCGACAGCTCCTCAAGGTAACGGGCACGGAGGACTCCCCAATACCAAGCATCTGTGCGAGTGCAATTGCGAGGCATTGGTCGGGATGGATCGAATCCGTTCCCGTCTTGGTCAATCCATTCCCTTAGGCGATCAGCTGGGAAGCCTGGGAGAGTGACCGTCAGGTTCTCGAGTTGCTGCTCAATCGCCTCATCACACAGGCGCAGGTGACGCAACCTGTCGTTCGCGGCCTCTTGAAAGTCTCGGCCACCACCATAGTCATGGCGGCGCGGTGAGCGAGTGCGAGCACGCCCTCCGGCGGCTGAGGCAGATGGTTCATCAGTGGATGACCCCGCAGGGGCGGCAATCGGTGCAGGTGCATCACCTACAGCAAAACCTCTAACCTCGCCACGACCGGCGAAATAGCTGTCCCACTCATCAGCAGTGATGTATTCCTCAGGCGCACGAACGGCGTCAGCCTTCGGAACAGCTTTTGCAGCTGGTGGGTGCGGCGGCTGCACTGGCCTGTTAGCACTGGGCTTAGGAGGAGGCGGCGTAATGCTTCGGGCAGATGCCGGCCTTGCCTTCGTCTTTGCAGCTTTTGGAACAGAAGTGCTCACTGGACGATCCGTAGATGACGAAGCTGCACCGCCAGGTGAGCGACCTCGGCTCGGAGGAGCCGGTGGAGGCCGAACACTGGGTGTTGCTGCGTGCAGCGACGAGTCAGGACCAGTCCTTCCGGATGGTGACGGCGGTGGAGGCGGCACACGCATGGCGCCAATGGGAGTGGCACCATGTCGGACCATTCGGTCTTCCACCTCGCGATTAATCCAGCCGCGGGTACGCTCAACACTGAACCGCGTACCGCCAAGAAGCTCGAGCATCTGTGACCTGCCCATTGTTCCCAGGGATGCTGGGATTTGCAACGGAGTCTGTCCGATTCCAACCTGCACAGTCACCCTTTGCTGATTGCGCTCTTTCTGGGTGAGAGCATACTGTGCGTTGTTGCGGAGCATACCGACTAGGTCGGCCATGATCTCTGGAACAGTACCGGTCACGGTCTGGTACTCGACGCCGTCATGGCGGAGGATGGTAAAAGGACGCACACGGCGTACCTCAGAGGCAATCTGAGTGGCTCGGATCAACACTGCAATCTCGGGGACCAGGTAAAAACGATCCTGGAAACAAAAGTAGCAGTGGCTGGCCAGCTCAAGAAAAATGTTCCTCTGATAGTTGTACTCCCCGCGAATCACATCGTCGACAGGAGGGAAAATGAGGGCAGTGCGTGCATCGGATGTGTGAGATCCTGCAAAGCCTCTCTTTGCCTCCGTCCCCATTCCTGGGGCGGGAAGTCGCAAGCGCGAGAACATCTCGATCTCGTCGAGTGAAGTCACCGTCATCCCCTTGGAGAACACATTGAATGCGCTGAAGGGTTCGTACTTCAAGTTCTGGCGCAAGGAGCCATGCGCTCCCTCTGCCGCTTTCGCCACCATTTTCTTGCACTTTTCCTTAAGTGTCGCGGCGATGCTCTTCTTCACATCGGCACCCTGACGTGTGTGCTCGTGTGGGCGCGTGTTGATGGCGGCCTTCGGTGCCAAATAGTGGAGGCTGTGATTAGCTCCACCTTGCACGGCTTCCGCCCGCAGATCAGCCAGCTCCGCAATGTGGGAGATGTCGCTCGGGTTGAACAACTTCCGCTGGCAGCGGGGGCAATGAAGATAGCCGTCAAGCATCTGAGACCTGCACCTATCATCAGGGCAACGCAGCTTTGGGAAGCTGACGTTGAGGCACACTGAGTAGTGCTTGCGCTCCACACGCGACGGGCACTCGGTGGTCAGCCCGATTGGCGAAAAGTAGACCTGGGCATCCAAGGTCCATTCGCACGGAGTTCCCTCCAGCGGACTACCCTGCTCAAAGCAGATGGTACGACCATCGACATGAAACTGCTCAACCTCACGCAAGTGCGAGGGCTTCTCCATGTCCATGAACATACCCAAGAACTCAACCCAGTCCAAATTTTCATTGTGGATCGGGTAACAGAGATCAACGTAATCCATGATGCAATTAGCGTCAGCTTCCGCTGCGCGTTCGATGAGGTCTTGGTTGAAGACCGGCAGGATCCCCTGACGCTTGACATATGCATCACGGGCTTTGGACACCCGAGCTCGCGTGAGCTCGTACGAGCGGTTAAACCATACAGGTTTCCCGGTTCTGCGATCGTAAGCAAACATAAGGTAGCGATTGGACAACCAATCTGGGGTCTGCAGAACATTGTTCTTTGTCAGGAGAATGCGACACCCTTCCAGGCACGCGAGTTGGAGGTCGATAGCGAATTCAACCTCAGCGCCAGGTCGCAGGCCGGCGTTGTTCGGCCTTTCCCACTGAGGGAGGCAAGCCATCATGGTGAAGGCTCTCCCCGTGCTTCCGCCGAGGGTGACACCGCCTGGGATGAGACCGGTGCTAACAATATTGGAAAAATTGCTCCAATACGTTGCATGGTACCCGATCGGATGCATTCTGACCCAGTCGTTGTGGATGTGGCCAGTGACTCCTACAGGAGGACGCGTGTGCATGGTGGGCCGGTAGCCGTCACACAAAGCATAGCTGTCACTGTGCATATCCACAAGATCAGTCTCGTCAGAGATGAGATCGCGGCAGTGCCCCTGGAATGCACGGATTCCATGGATCTCAGTGTGGTCGACGAAGTGGAGGACGCGCAACTCAAAGCGTCCACTGTCATCTTTGTCGCGGTTACCATACTTCACGACTTCCATGACGTCTTCCGACCGGAGACCGCGCCACTGTTTGCCCAATTGCTCTTTGAAGTGATCCCATTCGACCTCCCGCGTTGCGGGGTCGAAGGTCATCATGGGCGGTGGCCGCCGTTGTGCCTGTGACTCTGCACTATTCGCGAAGCCACGAAGGAAAAAGCTCATGGCACTGCTCAATGCTCGCCGCTTGCCATCCGTCATGTAGCGATGGCTTGGGGCAAAATCGGGGATGTCTTCATAGCCCCACCATTCGAAGAACGGCTCGAAATCACCAGCAGCGTCTTCCGACGGCTGAGCGGTGTCGTCAGGATCCAGGTCCATTACGACATCCTCTTCATCGTCAGTCTCGGCTGGCTCCGAGATTCTCCTGTGCTTGGCAGGATCGGGTTTCGACTTGGGCGTCGACCCGATTCGGCGAAGTGCCTGCGAGTACCCGACTGTGCCTTTGGGAAGACTGCGGTCATCTTCCGATGCCGGAACCTCTGGGGGTTCGTCCCACACCGTGGGGATGCCGTCATTGACTTCCCTCTCGATGGCATCGTCATCTGGGATAAGCACATTGGTGGTATTGATGACATCTCGTGCAACCATAAAGGCAAAGTCCTCTTGCGCCTCAGGGTCGACGGCGACAAGGTCGAGAGGCAGCTCTGACCCAACATCACGGCTAAACAGTACATGTTCAACCTGTGTCACCTCTTCAGAGCCTTCCGGCTTGAGTTCAAGATCATCCACCGGCTCAGGCATCATCATCAGAAGAGGGTGGTCGAGAACGATCTGCTCATCCTCTTCCCTGGCTTCCGCCGGGAGCTCAGGTGCACGGTCCAACGGCTCGAGGATGCGCTGACTTGCAGGCGGCACCGTGAGCGTCTTCTCGGCCTTCCCAAGCTCGAAGTGATTGCGAAACACAATACTTCTCTGATTGGCAACGAACTCAGCCTTCCGGCGAGTGATGATTCGGTCGGTGGAAATGGCTCTGATGAGAGCATGCCACCACTGCAATGAAGCAGTCACATTCGGGTCTGTGACCTCGATGTGGAACCCGTCGGGACGCGTGGTCCTCATCAGGAGGCTTGATGGATCAACGACGCAAACGCCTTCACTCTGCATCTGCCGGGCGTATTTGCCCATTTCTTCATCATACTCGTTGGGCAGGTTGTAAAAGCGGCCGTTGTCATCTCCCAAGAGAACCGTCAGGCCTCTGACACGAGTGTGCTTCCGCAGCTCGATAAGGCGACGGACGCTCTTCTCGACCATCAGCCGCTGCTTTGCGGGCCAATGCTCGATCTCGTCCAGCTCGCGCTGCGGCCTTTTGACCCACTGGCTCGTCAAGTGCCAAGTGTAGCCAAGGTAACCGTAGTTACCGTACACATCGTTGCCGGCCCATGAAACCACAAGCTCTACCCCTTCCGGGGGAGCGGAGGCAAGGTGGGTCTCGATCACATCAACGATCCTGTCGAGACCTTTGCCCCACTCCATCAGGCATGTGACTTCCCCGAACTCTGGGTTCGCGCGGACTATGTCCTGCATCATCGGGAAGATAGTGGTTTTCTTCACACACCGTTTTCCTTGCATCCAGCACAATGCCAAGGATGAGTCCCCGGCCACAAGAATGTCGGTGCCGTCGAAACCACCGGCTTCCGCCGTGGGGGGCGCGGAAATCCTGCCCAAGGCTGGGCTGTAGAGCCCGTCCAAGAGAGCTGAGCTCGCAGGAAACAGTGGGAAGGTACCGCTACCCTCAGACAGAATGTGGACCCT